ATAAATTTATAAAAATTAATATACCATAAGAATTGAAAAAACATTGAACTACATTTCAACTTTATTATTTAATTATTATTATAATTTAAAATATTTAATTATTATAATAGTATACCATATATTTCTCATTTTATTCTCTTACAGTGAAGTACTGTAAATCATTTAATTTTTTTTAAAATATAAAAATTATTAAAAATAGAACTTTTATTATTTCAAAATTATAAAAAATATTTAATATATACATTTTATATTAATTTAAGTATTTAATAAATTTTATTTAATGTTTCTTAATATACAGCGTTAGATACATAATAAAAAAATTAATAAAAAATTTACACTCTCGTATACATAAGGTTTATTTAAGTAATGGTTTATCATATATTTGATAATGAAGAAAAATATTATTTATCAATTCCTTAAAAGTAAGAAATTTTTTAATAAAATTAACTATTTTTATTTTTTTATTCAATAATTCTTTTAACAAAGATGTCAAAGAGAGATGTTAACAAGATCTCCAATTGATTGTTTAGAAAAATAAGTTAAACGAATATGTAAATACTTGAAATATTTTTAAAAAATTAAATGCCTCTTTATACTTTAAAAGTTTATAATAAATTCTTTAAACTTATAAAGTATTTTTAATTTGTCATATTTTTGTTAAGATTCCCTTAAATGTATATACAAAGATAATTAAAATTTTCCAAATAACTTGTGAATTAGGTTGGTAGTTTAATAGTTTAGTAAGCCCTTGAAGTCTTACTTTTTTAAAATTAAGTTCATGTAGTTAATACAACTCTAATTGAAATATGATCATATATTTAATTAAAAATATAATGATAATATGTCTTTGAACATCTCTTACAACAAATTTTTTGAAAAAATTTCACCAGAATTCACAGAAAAAATTTCAAGTAACGCCATCATTGACATTTCTTTCAACAACCTCGTTAGCCAAATTCCTAATTTTGTTGTGTTGTTGAACTAAAATTCTAAGTCTTTCAATAGAAACACTGTTCTATGTGGAGAAGCAATAAATAATTTGTTTCACATTCCTTCTTTGTCATTGTTTGATTCTCTAATGGCGCCAAGTGGGTCTTTTGAGCAAAAAAGAATGATCTTTTATTGTGGTAGAAGATATTGTTGACATTGAAATCTTAACAATGATCTTCATATACATGTACCAATTGAAGAGAAAGAAGGAGGTAGAGAGTGAAATAAAGCACAAAGTAATTATAGTAAGGAGTGAGAGGTCATCGTCAATCTCAATGTCAAAAGGATTTATGAGATAGTCGTGTTTGAGAAAAAGAGCAGAAAAAAAAAAAAGAATCCTTAGAATTAATAAGCTCTTTTGATAGTGACATAGAAGATGATGAACATGAGAAACAAAACCATAGGAGTTTCAATAAGAAAAAAAGCTTTAATTAAAATGATGTCGTTTCACAATTAAAAGCGTCACGTTAACTTTTTAAAATGACGTCGTTTTTGTCAAATAGACTTTTGACATGTCTCTTAATGTGAAAATTTAGCTTTCTTTTATAGTTTTTTAATGGAGTCTGAGCTAAGAGACTAAAATGAATGACAAAAGAGAAAGAAGTTTGAGACTAATATAATATTTTAAATATTTTAAAGACTAAAATGTTAGATTCAAACTTTTTCAATGATTAAAGTAAGATTTAGTCGAAGTTTTAATTATTTTAAATTAAGTTCATGTATTTAATACAACTCTAATTGAAATATGATCATATATTTAATTAAAAATAATCTATAAATTTATGAACTTAATTATAACCTTTTAAATATTAAAAAAATATTTATAAATTTTAAATAATTCAATAATTTTGTTTTTGTTTGATCAGAAATTCCTTGATTTGGACAGTTTGTTGATGCCATTCATACGCAATGAAATACATAACTGCGCACACAAACAATTTAGAAGGGACTTTCATTTTCGCCAAACTTTTTATGAAAAGTTTTGACATATCCGTTTTTATTTTCATTTTCGCAAAACTTACTAATAGTGCTTATCAGAAATTAATGAATTGGGTTTGCTTAACGATGAAGAAAACATAACGATGAAAATGAAATGTCGTTGACTTCAAAACGCATTTTCCTTGAGTTGCATGGCCGAAAACGATCAACTTCAGTAATAGTAATAATACCTCACGGAGAAGGGGAAGTGGATTATAATACAATGAGCCAATTAAAGGTGTTTCAAACTTTGAATTTTCTACACTGTTTCGATTTATTTTAGTTTTAGAATTAAATTTTATATGACAATTTCATAGAATTAAAAAGTAATTAACTGAGACTTTTTTCGATTTTTAACTTTTATAATATTAAAGAAAAAATATTATAAAAAATACATCTCAAAATTTTGTGGTTTTGAATGGATTTTGACGTGAAATCGCGAAAGCCGTAGCGTACGGCAGGTAGAGCAGCGGCTGCATTATTTTTGTCGATCACTGTAGCTTACAGATACCCGTGCACTGGTACCAATTTCCTATTAACGCTTTTTTGCTACGTAAAATATTTTTTTAAAATTGATGTATTGTTTAAATGAAAAAAATAAAGTTACTTTTTTAATAAGTGAAAGATAATAAAAAAAGGAATAAATATACTAATTAAAAAATTAAAGCACAAATTTATTATATTTTGTACTTTATAAAAAATGATTTATTTTATTTAACATTTAAAACGAAAAAAAGAAAAATGTTTAGGAATAGAGCGGAGATAAAGTAGAGTAGGATCCTGGAATAAGGAAAGCGAAGTGAGATGAAACTATTAAAAGCTTTCCCATTTGAATCAGCAATAATGAACAGAGATTGTAAGAAAAGAAAAGAGTTCCACAAAAGTAAAAAGAATACTAGCCAGTATCCACCATCATGACCATGACAAAAGTAAAGAAAACGTGAGCAAAACTTGGTTCCGATAACAGTGCCAAACGCTGAATTAGCTATGGTTCACTAAACGTTTGCAGACACAAACCATGAGGTATTTGAGGCTAGATACAATCCTCTTATAAGTTAACAATTAAATATATTTAATACCTCAAGAATTTGATAGATAAGAAAATGATAATCATGGATTGGTTGATATCTACGTCATAAAATAAATAGGAGTTGGACATGGTAACTGTAGCATTCATGCACTGAGTCTGGTAAGGAAATGACGCGTTGATATTTGGCTTATCCAGTGGTGTGCGGCGAATGGGTCCTAATTGTTTTATTGCAGACCCAAACCTTTGTCTCCGTGTGCTGCCGACGACACTGTCCCTCCGTTTTCTCTTTGTTTCGTTACAACACGTGACACTTTCCCTTCTTTTTCACTCTCCACTTGCCCTCCTTTTCATACACTCTAGCTCCTGTTTCTTTTCTTTTTTCTTATTATATTTTATAATAATAATCATTTTTTTATTTTCTTATGCGGAAATTAAACTTGTTCTTTTCTCTTTTACAACATGAAAAAGGATAAAGTGGACTCTTTGACTTCATCTAAAATCCATTCAAATTCAAATCCTCCTTTTTTATGCGAACAGTGCATACAGCTAATTAGACATCCACCCTATTGAACCCCGTAGCTTTTGTGATGTTTGCTTTAAAATTGGGTCTTATGTGTCAATCTTAAGAGCAATAGTAAAAGAATCTAATTTAAATTTCATCCACTTAATGTAAAGATAGTATACATTGTATATATTACGTGTCGTTAAATTATTTAAAGTCAATTTATTGAGGTGCATAGCGTATTAATTAACTCGTTGATACTTTATTTCCACCACCCTAAAATTTTGTTTCCTTCGTGTCATCATCATCATAATCTCTTGGCATGCATGCCATAAATTATTTTGTTTGGTGCAGTACAAATTGTAATGGAATTTTTGTTTGCTTCCTTGGAATTCAAACAATAGGGCACCACAGCATGCATTTTTAAAACTCCATTTATTTCCTTGTGATGTGCGTGTCCTAATTCATAGAGCCGGCACCGTCCCAACATGTTCTTAGGAAATTTCAAAACGTTGGAAGGTAAAAAAGTAAAGAAGAGAAATAAAAAGGAAAGTGTAATTGAAGTAAAGAAAAAGGCAAGGCAAAGAAAAGTGGAAAAGATTGATGAGAGTGCTTGAGAAGAAGATAAAATAAAATGAAAATCTGAATTTGTGGTGCATGGGATGGGAGCTACATTACCCAACAACAAGTTTGGAGCTACATTGCCAAATATCACTATAATTCAATACGCTGACCCCAGTTAGGATCTTCGAATTTGCTTCCTTCCCACAACCTAACCTAACCTAAGCTCAAAGCCATAGGCATGGTTTTGAAAGTTGAGAGAACCTAGGGAACTATTGTTATTTAATGTTGTAATCTAAAACTTTATCTATAAAAAACATATCAAAACACTCCGCACTAAGAATAAATAAAAAATAAACAAATACACATTAACATGATATTTACGTTTATAATTCAAGAAAAGCTTAAAATCTATTCAAATGATACAAATAATAGATTTTAATTAATATTATTTATGGTTTTTATTTAAATTTTATAAGTCTTCGTTAATAATTTCAGTATTAATTAAAAATTTTAAAAAATATTTTATAAAAATATGCTTATAATTATTGTTATTTTCATTTTTAAACTAAAATATAATATTTAGGCATCTTTTTCCCTATAACTAAAAGAGAGAAATAATTTTCTCATACTTCAAATTCATTTAGATCTATTTTTTGATATACAACAGTTACTTACTTATAGATAAATGCTAATAAATATATTTAAAACATTAGTTAAAAATAAAAATAAACAAATTTATTAAGAATACGATTATATAATTATACTTTTTATTTTATTTTTAACATATTTCTTAATAAAATAATTTATTTACTTTTTAACTAATATCTTAAAGATATTAATTAATAAAACTCATACTTATAGAAATAACTATTTTTATCACAATCCTTTCTTTCTTTTATATTAACCCCGTGTTCATTTTGATAAAAAAAAACAGAGAGGATAAAAAAACAATTTTTAATTTAAAAAATAAGAAAAAATACAATTATTTGATATATTTTTCTCTTTATTTATTTTTTATCCCAAGAAAAAAGAAGAATTTTAATTTTAGAACTAAAAATACATATTGTGTTTATTTAATTAAAGTAACTTTCGATTTAATTTAAATAAAAATAAAAAGGTTTAAAGTTTATTGGGTAATTAAGAATAGAGAAGGAAGGTGAGCACTTAACGTTAAATTTACCGAAACAGTGTTCCTCGAACTCTGAATCTGACGTCAACCCTGAACGAGTCCGACGCCGAATTCCAATTATTTATATGGCTCTCATCTCACCGTTTTATTAAAATCCAAAGGCCCACATTGCCTCTCAAAGTCCCGTTGGGACCCACACGTGAAGGTTCAAACCTCTGCTGAAACGCATGCCAAGTAAACCTTCATCGGGATCGTGAAATCAAATATCACAGCCAGGTATCTGAATCACCAAGGTTTAAAACTCCATGCACCGCCACGTCACACAGGTTCAACGCTCACAGGCTGGCACAGTCGAACCAATGAAAACTCTCCACGTGGAAGCTCGCGATGTTGACACCTCCTTCGGCCACAGCTGTGCCCCTTCACAAGGTATATAAATACCCTTCCAACGCACCCGTGTCCATCGTCAAACACTCTAATCCATCTCTCAATCGTTCTAATCCTTTTCTTAAAACTTCAACCCCCAACATGGCTTCTAATTACAAAGCTGCCATTGGGTTCTCTGCAGTTATCACGCTGTTACTCCTTCCCGCACTCACAGTAGGGGCGCTGGTGCAAGAGCAACCGCTCGTGCTCAAGTACCATAACGGCCAGCTCCTAAAGGGACGGATCACCGTTAATCTCATCTGGTATGGAACCTTCACCCCCATCCAACGCTCCATAATCGTCGACTTCATAAGCTCTTTAAGCTCACCCAGCGCGCCGCTTCCCTCAGCCGCCACGTGGTGGAAAACCACTGATAAATACAAGGGAGGATCCTCTGCGATCGTCGTAGGGAAGCAGTTCCTGCACACGCCTTACACCCTCGGGAAAAACCTGAAGGGAAAGGACCTACTCGCACTCGCTTCCAAGTTCAATGAACTCAACTCAATAACCGTTGTTCTAACGGCCAAGGACGTCACCGTAGACGGTTTCTGCATGAACCGATGCGGGACCCACGGGTCGATCCGACGGTCTAACGGGGCCCGAAATGCTTACATATGGGTCGGTAACTCCGAGACGCAGTGTCCTGGCCAATGCGCGTGGCCCTTCCACCAACCCATTTATGGGCCCCAGACGCCGCCGTTAGTTGCGCCTAACGGCGACGTTGGAGTTGACGGGATGATCATCAATTTGGCCACGCTGCTTGCTGGCACTGTCACGAACCCGTTTAATAACGGTTACTTCCAGGGACCACCTACGGCGCCGTTAGAGGCTGTTTCGGCGTGCACTGGGGTTTTCGGTAGCGGGTCGTATCCGGGTTACCCGGGTCGGGTTCTTGTGGATAAGGTTACCGGGGCGAGCTACAATGCGCACGGCGCGAACGGAAGGAGGTACTTGGTGCCGGCGATGTGGGACCCGCAGACCTCGACATGCAAGACCCTCGTCTGAGGAGGGGATCGGAGAGTGACACGTGGCGTTTTATGGTGTATGGGTTGTAGATATGGGTTGTTGGGACCGGGAGCAGGGGATTGCGGAGGAGGTGGTGGTGGACTGGGGTAGTGTGTATCTATGCTAAGCTGCTTTTGTCGTTTAGTGTGACGTGTAAATTCTGTTTCGAAAGATTATAGAGGAATGTTATAAATATGGAAAACGAGGAATAAGAAAAAAAAAGATATATCGTTAATGTTGTATAATATAATATATTTTACATATGCAAAGTAAGGTTTATTTTTTTTGAATTTCTTATATAATTTTGATTTAAGAAAGGGAAATGAGAGTGGGTTTTGTGTAGATTAATATTTCTTTGGGTAAAGTAAGGTGGTTGGGGGAATGAAAAATCGGTAGGAGAGGGTGTTTTTGTTTGTTTATGGTAAATGAGAATAAAGGAGGGGTTTCGCTTGTGGTGTTGGTGGCCTGGGAGACCATTATGGCGAGGTATCAGTCATGATGACACTGGCGAGGTGAAGTGAATCTCACTAGGCATAAAAGGCTACAGAGAGTGTCATCTTTTGGATGGTTTTGGTGGGTCCTATTTCTCTGCAATTATATTTTAGATAAGCTTTGGTTTGTTGTTTGTACCCTTCTGGGTACGAAGATTGGGATGGGATAGCTTTTACTATTATTTTGTTCTAACAAAAGGTGAAAATTTGTTAGTCTTCATTTGTAATAAATAGAAAGTGATAATGCTAGGCCTTCTTGACCTAGTTTTCAAACTAGGCAGAACTCTCTGACGGGTGGGGTTACATGCTATGTCTCTTTTTGTTTCTCATCCATACCAAGCAATTCAATCTCATCCAAGGGAAGTGAGAGAATTTAAGATAAGAAATAATGGGTCTGTTTATTCATGAGAGAAAAATGAATAATTATTGTGCAATTAAAATTTGTAGTAATTTGAACATTGATTAATTTAAGACTGATCGGGGGTTATATGATTTTTGGTATCCCTCTCGGCCATCTATGTTGTATCCCTCTGATGCACTCAGCAGTTAGTTGATAAGTCTTTAAGAACTCACATACCACAATCTAATGCGTAAACCATTTAAATTTTCCTGATACTCGGTGTAGATGCTCACAGTATTTGGTCACTCTCCCAAGAGATTGCAGTTGCACTGACTTGACCTTTCTCTAGCGTAACATGTCAGCAATAATGTAATTTCAATATATTGGGCGGGAAGTAGCATTAAGCCTTGGATCACGGTGAGCTGGTGAACTCGAGTCATCACAAGCAATATGCCCGGAGCATCACAAATTCCGTCATGTTCTTGAATGCCGTATGAAAGAACAAACAGACAAAGCAATTACTCTCAAGTTCAGTTCCTATACATTTTTATTAACAGATAGTACCAGATCCAAACATTAGCAGAAAAAATCGGTTGACAGGAAGTTTTATGTTGTGATTACACTACTGAACATGTACCAAGTCAATTTTCACGCTAATGTGATGAATTGGAAACAACGATAGCCCACAGACACTACATTTATGTGTCATCAAATTCTGTTTTAGACCAGCTATATATAGGACTCATACTTAAATGTTTAAAATGTTTCAAAGCTTGTTCGCGTGTAATAAAATGAAACCTTTAACAGGTATCTACCAAGAATTGTCGAACGAGTTTAGGACAAGACAAATTATGTTTTCCCATGACTAACTGGGGGTTACCATTTACCATAGGTTTTGACAATCAAGAGACTGGATAGTTTAAAACAACGACTAGAAATTGGACCACAATTGCTTGGACATTCATAAAGAAAACTGTGGACAACACTAAGATGGCAGAGTGTAGGCAACTGAAAACCCCATATATTAACCATTTTTAAGAAGATACTTCTACAAAGAACATTTGAATATGTAACAAATACCAAAGCAAAGCAAAAGAAAACACCATAAAATTACAAGGTTTGCTGCTAAATCAGTGTTCAATCCTCATAGAATCAACCACCTTAGTCTATGCGGCTAGACTGGCCAAAACATCAGCCATGACACCATATGTGGGAGAAGGATGTCATCTCCTTCCACCCAGTATTCAATAGATCTGTTTCGGCAGAATGGAAATGACATTCAATAGTAGGGGCTGTATCGCATTGCCATTCTGAACCTTGGAACCTTTCTGCAATTAAAAAAGTGTTCTACATCTAAAATTAAAGATAAAAAATAACAAAACACATTGGAAGGGAAAGAACTAACGACATCATACCCATATCCATATGGAGCAAAGGCAAAGGGAGGTGCATATGGGTTTCTGCCTTGAAACCCCATGTGAGGATTAGGCCGGCGGGGACGGTATTGCTTCATCCCCGGTATGTTGGTCCTCTTGGCAGTTACCTGCAAAAGTCCATAGAAATATAGATGGTAAGAAAAAGGAAAGTGAGATATGGTTGAAACAACCAGAGCGTCCTGTTCTAACCTTCAATTGACGCCCATGTAGTTCAGATTCATTCAGTAAAAGAGCCTCTTGAACAGCCTCTACTTCAAGAAACTCCACGTAAGCATAACCCTTTGGTTGGCCAAACTTATCAGTGCGGATGGTGACTCGGTTTACTGTTCCACATGATTGGAAGTGCTGCTGCACTTCTTCGGGAGTGCATGAATAATCCACCTGAGGAATATATCAATAATCCCCTATCAGATTAACTGATAACATAGCCCCCAGTTAAGCCAAAACATTAATCAGATGGTAGTTAAATATTTTGATCTAATAATTAACACCAACCTTGAGGCTGAAAATAGGGAAGTTCACCCTTTTTAGAAGTACACTAGTCAATCACTAACAGTCAAACTGATGAAGAACTTTCTTTTGCAGGAACTGTTTCACCGTTTCTAGAACTTTCAAATTACTAAATGGCAAATTTGGTTTTGATGACATTTTGTTACAATTTCTAACCAACAAAAGAAAATAATAAGGGCAAGAAAATCAATATCAGCTAGAATAAAAAATTGGCCCATAATGTTACATCAGGTGAAGCTCCCAGTAGATTAACACTAATAAGAAAAATCAAGGGAGTCGAATTTCATTAACTCACAGATAAATTTTCAGAGGCTTCTACTTCATAAAATACAATCATTATTTTTCTGCACTATCCAGTTATTCATCATGCAATTTGCTTTTGGAAGTGCCCATTGCACTTCAGAATCTTAAGAGGATTTTTCCCAAAATATCAATTGTTATTCTGTTCAGCCAATCAATTTCCAATTGCTTGTCCATGGAAACAGTTGATAAATTGCGCATTGAAACAAGAACATAATGCCAATATGGAAAGTTCTAAAATTTTCCAAGTTAATGTCTAACAAATGACCATGCAATATAAGAACTCATCACCTACATTATGGCTGCGCTTGGAAATACAACTTAATTAAAAGCTTATTTACTAAGCTCTTTTTACATAAGGGTTTTATGACTTTTATCCTATAAATTGAACCATAAAACTTCTTAAAATAAGATGAAAAGAGCTCATTTCACTAAGTTATTAAAAAAACCTTAATAAATTAACCTAAAAAAAGTTTACGGAGCTACAAGTTATTTCAATAAACTCTCCATAAATTCTTCCAAACGTTCCATATATACATACATAAATGTGCATTCTTCAATAAGAAGATATTGCAAAGGAAACAGACTTATCATGTAATGACAAAATGAATGGGTATGTTTCATTAACAATGCCATTCAAAACTAGTCCTCCTTTGTTTAGCTTATTAAAATAACCTGAAAAAAAGTTTATGGAGCTATAAGTTATTTCAATAAACTCTCATGGAACGGAAAAATGAATGGGTGTGTTTCATGAACTGTGCCATGCAAAACTAGTCCTCCTTTCTTCAGCTTCTACCCCCCTCCCTCTTTCTTCAGATTTTGCAGGGATGAATTAAATAAAACATGAGTTAAAAAGAAAATTGGTTAAAAATTTCTTCTTGATCCCAAGGATGAAAAAAAGGAATGTCAAAGGCCCCTTGTCATGAGAAAATAATACCTATTTACTTCTTGAGCACTAGGCAACTCCAAAAGTGTCCTTTGGCTTTGCAATAAAAAACGGCAGATACCGTGCACTGTCTTTTACCCACAAAGTCCCCTTCTCAACAGTAAGAATCCAGGTTCTCGATCAGCAACCCAATCCTTTCCTCTGTTAATCCCACCATAAAATCCTTTAAAACTTACTATGCTATAGACCTGTATTTTCACCCTAACAGTTAGCTTTGTATGTCATTTTTGTTCTTTTTTGCCATCCTTTTCACTATAAAAAATATGTAAGATCACCACACCATGCATGAAAATCACTTTCCTCAACAACTAAGGCTTTAGATTTCTTAACCTTCTCTCTATCCCTCCCCTTTTTGAGCTGTCTCAATCATTTTTCCAATTTTTTTTCTTAATTTCATACATTTCTAATATAATTCTTCTTGAGCTATATACTATATATTAATATCATATACTTCCAACTGCAGCATTTCTAAGCCAGAAAGCTTGTAGATGGAAGCATAACCTGCAACAATTGTAGTCAAACATTATGTCAAAGCAGGATGCCACAGCTTGAGAACATAATCTACTTTGAAATATCAAAAGAACATTCAACAACCAGGTTCTCAATATTTTTAAAGTTACAGATAAGTAATATTAAAAAAAATCAAACTTTCTAACATATGGGGAAGACCCATTGCATTAATCATTATAAGACATTATACACCAGCAACATAAATGGAGATTCTAAGCTGCTCCAGAAAAAAGTCTGTAAAATCTGATAAACAATTGGAGTCAGACATACACAAAAAGAAAAATACTATAAAAGACCATGAATTGAAATTGATATTTGGTAACAAATTGAGAAAAACAAACATCCTATTCAAATCAAATTAGTATGAAATGAATTCAAGGTTTATGAGGAAACCATTGCAAGTCCCAGATGAACAACTATGAATGACCTGAAGAGACTATCAATATCATCTTATTGGCATGAAAAAACAAAGGACTTCCCAGGAAAATTTCAAATAAGGTTGGATGCACAGTAAAGTGGGATAAAGATTCATTCTTCCAACAATGCTATTTAATTAGTTTAAGATTTGGGTAGCAGTATGTTCCATAGGTGAGAATTTGGGGCTTCAGGTTCCATAGGGTCAGTGATGGAAAGACAATAGCCAACTAGAAAAGGTCAACTGATTAGAGCAGGTGTGGATTTGAGTAAGAGATCGTAGGGTAGCGACTCATAGCATGACAAGAAAAAGAAAAAAAAAGTAACAGGATGGCAGGTCTCTAAGGCTTGGTCTAAAAACAAAATTAAGCAGCACAACAAACAAAACAATTAAAAAATTGACATAGAGAAAGTGTTATTTTGCTTTATCTCATGCCATATTTAACTTCAGCAATAAATTTCTATATACAGTCTTTATGCCATCAATAAGTAATCTACTCATCCTACATTAATCAGAAAAATAGCAACCACTTATTAATTTGGGAGTTCTATGACTTCTATAATATTCTTACATTGCCATTTCACTCACACACAATCCCACACACAACACAACACATGTGCATAATCTCACATCTATGAAATATGTTTTACACGACATTATGGTTCAATGATCCCCAGATTATGTATAATGATGGAATGCTAGAGAGCCTCAAGATTAAGAGCAGGGATAATGTATATTACACCCAAGGAATTGTCCATTTTGTTTCCAAAAGCAAAAAAACACACATATGCGTTGACTCATAATTGAATCAATCACATCAGACAAAATATATAAGCTAATCTCACGAATATACTCAGCCCATATTATGAAAAATGGCGATAAGACAACTAAGCATAATACAAAGTTTTAATGTAAACAGGGTAAGAGACATCTCACATTGCCTACAAAGACTGATCGAGAATCTACTTCCTCTCTATTGTTCTGACTTGCAGCACCAGTAGCAGGATCTATTTAAAGATAAGAATCAATAACAAAGACAAAAGTCCAAGTATAGATTGTAATGAAATGTCTAGCACACTTCGAAGGTGCAATGATCATAACATGTGCACGTAAAAGAAGAATACAAAGTAACAAAATAGACGGGAAAAGGGCAAAGATGAAAATAAAATAAATAAAATTCTTTACTTTTTATTTTGTTTTATTAGAGGAGTCAAATAAAGGGGATAAGTTAGATGCCTTGAGCACTAGGGCACTCAAGCAATAACATTCACTCGTATTCCCACAATCAAATAATTCAAGCATTAACCAAAAACACATCCAAAGTTGAAGACAACAGTTGAAAAATATTCAACTAGCATCAGTTCATAACACGAAAATCTCAAGTGAGTACAACAAAATATCTTGCCATTAACAACCAAGTGAGAGCATCTTTTACAACCTCTAACTAAACTCTTCAGTCTTAGTCCACAAACGAATCAATTGCACGACGCACAATGCAAAATAAATCAACAAAGAAAATCCTAATTTTCATAGGTTATTCACTAAAATTTCACTAATTAGACGAGTTAGCCTTTATATCAACAGTGCAAAACAAATAAAAAAACACAGATCATTTCACAAATATAAAAGGAACAAAAAACTTGATTAATAAGTTTTAATATTTAAAAATTTGAAAAAAAAAAGTAGGAAAATGGAAAAGAATGAAAGAAAAGGAGAAAGGAGGAACCTTGTACAGATCCCATCTCCTTTTCCACTTTGGCCTGCATCTCGCGCAAAGCATCAGCTTCGTCTTCCATTTCCTTCAAGCGTTTCTTCATGTCATCCAATTCCTGCAAATGCAATCAACATTGATGCGTTCAGCCAATTAGGGTCTTTCATGGAAAGGGAAATTGATCCGAAAATTAAAATAAAAACACATTACATACAGCTTCATTGTTGTCTGCACCGCCCATATCAACGTCGTCGTGTTCCATGTTCTCTCCCCCACGCCGTTTCAATCCCCTTCTCTTTCCCTGCGAGTTCCCCTATCGCCGGCTTTACTTCGTCTTTTTTACCGCAAAATTAAATTAATATTTCATAAATTTTCAATTGTTTTGAAATGCTATGAATTTTCAATAAGAGCTTGCAAACAGAGGTTTTTTTATTTTAAATGAAAAAGGATACTTAATCTCTAAATTTAGATATTTAAACCTTAATTATTTTAATAAATTCTTAAATGTTACTTTTATAAATAAATACCTTAAACTTTAATTTTTTAATTAATCTTTTTCTATTTTACAAATAAATGTATAACAGTTAATTTCATTTAAAGTAATTAATGATTTTTTTTATTTTGTAAATAATTTTTATAATAATTTAAAATTAAATTATTAACAAAAATTAGTTTTCATTTTTTTTATCTTTTCATGTATTATAAATTTGAATCTTTACTTTTAAATAAAATATTTTTTAGATTTTTTTTATCATTAAATCTTGCATTTCCTAATATATTAAGCATTTCATTTCATTTTTTGTTTTTATTTACTTTTATTATTATTATTATTAATTAAATTTAAATTCATTTAAAAAATTAAAATATTGACATAGCATATCAAATTGAATTCATATTTTATAGCTTTTTTAATTATAGTTCATTTTTCAAAAATTGAATATGATGGAAAATTAGAAAATAATGGAAAATCATTATTTAATTTCTTTGATCATGAATTCATTATATTTTTTTATTAGAATTTATTATATTTTAGTATTTAAATAATTTTAATAAAAATAAAATTAATGAATGACTAAGATTTGAAGAAAATAAATAATTGTGATATTTTTATTTAATTCTAATTCTCATAAAATATTTTTTACAATGGTGGTAACAATTAAGGAACAACCAAAATGAAACTGAAGTTTATAATATTAAATTACAAATGTGGAAAATTTAAATATTAATTGAAATAAAATTTGTTTAAAATATAAATTGTACAAAAAATATTTGAGCATTATTATTTTATTTTGTAAGAGTTATTAATTTAAGCATTATTAATTGAGTAATTAAAAAGTATCATGGAGCACCAATATCAACCAGAAAGAAATTGTTCCACCTTAACAAAGTGACACTTTTTAAAGTTTTTTTTTTTTTTCTTTATACAAGCATCACCGTTGTTATTTTTAACTGAAAAATATAATGTTATTGAATATACTTTAACATTGGCTGTCTTAAAAAAGAAACTAAATTGTGAGCCGTGCATGAAAAGTTATTATTATTTTCATATCCATGTAACATAATGCAGCAAAATTCTTATTCATAAAATACAATAATTGGCATAATAAACCTTTACTTTGGTGTTTAGATTGTTATTTCTCTTACTTTGGTCCTTAATTTTATATACATTTTATTGTAATTTTAACTTAAAAAAAATATCATATGAATAATTTATTTTAGTTTTTAATGTTAGTAAAAATAAATATAAATATTTTACAAAATTAGAACTAAAATAATTAAGCTTATAATCATATTGACTAAAACATGAAAACAAAGTGAAAATCTTTTCAAAGAATCTTAAAAACATCTTTTACAAGCTTGGTAAGAAGATAAATTTTTAAGAGAAAAAAAAATCTCTATAAGGTGAAGGTGGAACATTTTATAAATCATTTTATTTGTATTTAAATTTTGCATGCTTGAATGAAAATAATAAAAAAAAAACATAATAAGAAAATTACTCAATAATGTGTTACTTTTTTTTTTTTTGTCTAACTCTGATTACTAACCAAATATGTATGTGAATGAAAGAAAAAATAAATTTATCTTTTGTTTATTCAACAATTTTTATGTGTGTATTAAAAAAATTATAAATTTTTATTTTTTGTTCTATTATCTTATAATAGTCAATAACTTTAACATATTTTGTTGTACTTTTTTATTTATTTATATTTTACTTTGTTATTAGGTTATAAGATATAAGTGTTTTATAATGTATGATATTACTAGTATTTGAGTATAATTTGCTGTAAAATGTTTATAGTTTATGTTTGTTTATTTTAACATTTTGTTGTAATCAGATATTATTGATTACTTTACAATAATATAATATTTTAATTTATGTTATCGAAGTTGTAGAATATTAGATATTCTATGTGTGTCAACTGGTATAATTAATTTTTGTTATAGTTTTAATTTAATTAGATACTAAAATATTAAATAATATTTTTTAGTATATATTTTAATTAATTATTATTATTGAATTTATTTATGATAACTTTATTGTTAGTATATATGATTTTATTATTATTAAATTGAGTCATAATAATTAAGTTTAACCCTTTCAATTATAAATCAAAGAAACTATTATTTCTAACTGTTTCAAGATAACAGTTGTTTCATCGAGACAAAACATATATTGAAATTGAAAGAATGATAGGAAGAATTTATGTCTCTATATTAATTTTTTGTTAGTTTTTTCTCATAATAAAAAAAGAAACTTTTAGGACTTATTTGATTTTCTTCTCAAAAATATTTTAAAAAAAATAAAATATAATACAAATTTATACCATTAAAGTTAAAAAAAAAAGAGAGTAAATTTTACACTTTGAAGTAAGGAACATGTGAGTTAAACGTTCATCATTGACTTACTTGTAGAATACTTATAAATAAAGTATTTTTAATTTTAGAATTTATTCCTCACATGAATTTTTATTATTTCTCTCAGAATTAGAAATCTAAAAGTCCTGAAAGTAGAATATTGAAGCAAGAATCGTGATTTCATCCATATCTATCATCCTTTTTCTACTCTATTCTCCATTATTTGCTGTTATTATAAATTTATTAAATTATGATATGATAAACTTTATACAATCACGTATATTTAATTTTTGTGATTTTTTTTATCTCATCATACATTTAATATATACTAGCATAACAAATTAGATAGCATTATTTTATTTACTACCCTTAAACAATGCAAAGTAGCACCTTAAAATTTAAATCATGTGTAATTTAGTTATTGACATTTTAGAAAAAAATGCACATAATTTAAAAGCTCAATCAAATGCGACGTAAATTTCAGGGCTTTAATTTATGCTTTGTCTAAGAATAAATTCAAAACCAGATTAATAAAAAAATCATTTTATACATAATTTACAAAATATTAAAAATTAAAATATACATTGAAAAAGTTACGTGACACATAAATAAAAAAAAGTTAAGGTAGTAATTTGTAAATGTTTTTAATTATTGAAGAAGAATGTTTAAGAAAGGAATGCATGAAAAATTTCATGAAACAAATTTTAAATCTAATCATTATATATATATATATATATATATATATATAGTATATTTTTACATTAGTGTAAATTTAAAAAATTTTATATTTAATTTAAATTTTTTATTTAAATTTAATGATTAATAAAATAATAAATTATAATTTGTTAAATTTAAATTAATTAAAAAATTTAGATTAAATATAAAAAATTTTAAATTTATATTTTTCATATATATATATATATATATATATATATATATATATATATATATATATTTGCACTATTTGTACTATGTAGCAAAGTAGTAGCCACGTGAACAATATGACGCTTCTGAAAATTTGGTAAGAATGTGCGGCGGCTTTGATATTATCCGTACGACAATAAAAAAGGACTTTTTTTTTGCTCCTTCAACTTTAAGTAAGAAATAAAAACATCAAGCGTGTGTTAATCAGTGATTTAGAGAATAAATTTATGCAAAATAATGAAGTGATAAATGATATAAATATAATAAAAGGTAAAAGAGAAGTGATATAAAAAAATATAAAATTGGAATAAAAAATTAAGACGTAAAAATGATTATATTTTATCTTTCCATTTCTTAACAAGTGTATACCATAAAATATAAAAAGCAATAAAATGTCTATTTAATTAAATTGTAGATACCTTATTCTACATGATATTCATAGAAGAAATTGTAATATTTGCGAACACTTAATCTTTATTGGGAAATTTATGTTTTTTATTTTTGAAAAAAATAGAAAACAAATAAAAAATAATAGTTTAATAATAAATAAGAAAGAGAAAGAAAGAAATAAAAATAAATAAAACGAAAATGAAAATACTGAAAAAAAACTGTTTGAAAATTTCTTATTTATAAAATATTTCCCAACAAGGGACTTTTTTATCAACAAAAAAAATAAAATAATTAAGGATTTGATTGAAATTAATTTTTTTACCAATTTGTTTAAAGAAAAATAAAAAATCACGTCATTTGATTGATAGTTGAGATTTTCAAGAAAAGGAGCTGGCAGAAAGTCAGAGCACGTAAGCGACAGCGCAGTTTATAAATTACATATAATAAGAGTAGGGATTCAGAGGAAGAAGAAGAGGGAACACTTGAAATAAGATATGAATAAGACCCAGAAAGCAGGAGGAGTGTTCACACTTGGATCAAAACAAGGAGGTAGAGAGCATGCAGAATGTTGAGAGATTTGGAGAAGAACACTGGCAAGAGATAGCAGAAATTTGAGATTTGTATGAAGAAAGAACGATACAAGAAGGGCTATTCCAGGTTCTTTATTTTTCTGAATTGTTGAACTATGACTTGTGAATGAAAGTTCATATATATTATCATGCATGAGTTGATGATTAATCGTGCCATGTGTTTTGGTAATGCTATATCTTTAATTTCTTCATCATGCTTTTTAAACAATCCCCTTAGAAGTAAAATGAAAAAGATCTTCATGAAAGTGAAAACTTTGAGACAACTCTCCTAGGTTGGTCCTATGACAACAACTTCAAAATCTGTGCCCACAAAAATCCCATATTTGTTAATACAAACTACGTGCTGCTAGCAAGCTTCAATTTGTTCTTGTTTGCAATATTGATCAACACCCTATTTAAGTCCATGCCATGTTTCGTTATTGTTTGAATTCATATTTACGTAGACAGGGGACCCATAAGTTGACAAAGTCATTTTGGACAACAAGAGAGGGCTTTTATTTTGGTACATAAGAAGAGGAAAATTAGTATATGGACACTTTTTAGATATTTATTTTAAGAGTGCGATAAAAAAAAGGGTGTGATATGATGTAATAGAAAAAAAATAAAATATGTTCAATTGGTTAATAGTTATGTTGAGGTATTTATAAACTAAAATTTATAAAGAAAAGGATAAAAATTATAAAAAAATAAAACAAAAGCTTTCTTAATCTGATTTTGTCTTGAAGATGTGGTTTAAGTGATAGAAATAAAATGCAACAATTAAAAAATTATTTAAAATTTGAATTAGTTCTTGTTTTCAATGGTTAGTTATATATAAAATATAAAGGAATAAATATTAAAAAGAAAATAAAATAAAAAAAAACATAAACTGCAAATAAAAAAAAATATTCAGGCTGGCTTAGTTTTCTTTTATATATTTTTAATTCAGAAATCTTTATTCAGTCCTTATCCTTAGGTGTTGGTCTTCCTCTTGTTTTAATCAAATCATTCCTAAATATTCTCACCATTTAGTTTTTCTTTTTAATTAAAATCATTTAATCCCAATTATTTTCTACATAAGTAGGCAATTTTGAACTTTTCATTATACAAAGGAGGCATGTAAGAGTGAATTTTATTCGTCAAGTTAAAATGCAATTTTCGTTTTTCTAATTCATTAAAACGGATTAAAATAATTATTTTTGAACTATTTGAATTTGTACAATTAATTTAGAATAAGTACTTTAAAATCAATGAATATAAATCAATAATGCGGTAGGATTACGTTTCTTAATATTTCCTCTGCATAAATAATTCCTGAGTTTAATTATGCTATATATGTAAGTCGATTTTAGATTTATTTTATGAGAGAAGGGAAGTGCATAGTTACTCACTTTGAACAGTAAAAATTTAAATTTATTATATGAAAATAAATTTATGATTTTTCTAAAGAATAAAAAATAAGTATTATATGATATCATTAAAATATTTTAAAAATTAAAACTTTTTAATTATTATTTATATTTTTTAATTTTGAAAAATGACAAATTTGTAATTAAAACAATAAATTACATCCTTAATTATTACTAAACTAAAAGAAGATATAAACATTCAATAATGCTTTTCCTTCCTAACCATCATAATGAATAAAGTCAAGATAAAATTGTTCTCTCACGTGAAAAATTAACATTAATAATTTAATAATCTTTACATAATCTTATAAATTAAAAAGATATAAAATAATTTTTTAAATATAAAATAATAATTATTTTTAATTTTATATTAAATATATAAAAATTAGTAGTTTATTTTTAACATATTAAAACAACAACAATCATCAAATTTAAAAATCAAGTTTATAAACAACTTAAACTTAACAAGTAAACAGTAATTTTCACACGAAACAGACAAGAGAACGTTTGTTGCATTAAGCGCGGTATTACAGTACCCTCTTAAATGACTTGTCCTTTATTTAATTTATTATCATTTCCTCGTACATAGAGTCTATATCACTATATGTTTGTTAAACCTTTGAAAACACAAAATCCTCACACTAAAAAGTCTATATATTTGGTTTGATTTCAGACACGTTGAGTGAGAAGGCAATTCCACTATCACACTTGTCTTATTTTCAACATCATGGCTTCCTTTCTTCCATCTCTGGAACGTTCTTCTAGTGCTAGTGATTCTGAAACTAAACACTATTCAAGTTCAAAATCAGTGCTACACCAAACTGTCCTAGACATTGAGGCCACAACACCGGAGATAGAAACATTTAGTGCTCCAGAAAGGAGCATTGGAGGAGGAGAAGCTTCAGGTTTGAATGATCAGATAGAAGAAATGGGTATCTGCTTGACATGGAAGGATCTATGGGTGACTGCTTCAATGGGAAAAAATGGAAGCAAATCAATTCTTCAGGGTCTAACTGGTTATGCTAAACCAGGACAGCTATTGGCCATCATGGGTCCTTCTGGTTGTGGAAAGTCAACACTTCTTGATGCTTTAGCAGGTATATATATATACATGTATAGTTAATTTCTTAAGTTCCATGGTATCTAGTTTTTTATTAATTAAATTATGTTGATGATATATATGAAATAATATTCCAGGGAGATTAGGTTCAAACACAAGGAAAACTGGGGAGATTCTGATCAATGGAAAGAAACAAGTCTTGGCTTATGGAACTTCAGTACGTACAAAATTCTGAATTCTTTAACAAAGCAAATTGGACTGTTAATTAGTCTCACAGTAGCCACATGATGAATTAACTGATACATGTTGCATGTGACCACAGGCATATGTCACACAAGATGATACCTTATTGACAACCTTAACGGTCGGAGAAGCAGTGCACTATTCAGCTCAGCTCCAGTTGCCTGACACCATGTCCAAAAAAGAGAAGAAAGACAGAGCAGATTTTACAATTAGAGAAATGGGTCTACAAGATGCCATTAACACAAGAATTGGAGGATGGGGTGTTAAAGGTATTAGTGGGGGTCAGAAGAGGCGAGTTAGCATCTGTATTGAGATCCTAACACGCCCTAAACTTCTGTTCCTTGATGAACCGACTAGTGGACTAGACAGTGCAGCTTCCTATTATGTCATGAGCAGAATAGCTACCCTGGATAAAAAAGATGGCATTCAAAGGACTGTTGCTGCGTCTATCCATCAGCCTAGTAGTGAAGTTTTTCAACTTTTCGACAACCTTTGTCTTCTGTCTTCGGGTAGAACAGTTTACTTTGGACCTGCTTCTGCTGCACGTGAGGTAATTAGGAACTAACCCCTTTTTATATTGTCCATCTTTCCAATGATTTTTGTTCATTTCTAGCGATGACGTCCACTTACTTTTTATGCTTTTGTTTCAATGTAGTTTTTTGCTTCAAATGGTTTTCCTTGTCCTGCTCTCATGAACCCATCTGATCATTTACTGAAAACCATAAACAAGGATTTCGATCAGGTAATTAATTAAGCTGATCATGCTTCCATTTCACTGGTGCTTTTTTTCTTAATTTAAATTTTTTAGTGCAACATGCTCCAACATAACTGTTGTCAACAAGGATCATATAAATCTGATAGAAATACTTTTTATTTATTTATTTTATCAGGACATTGAGTTGGTTTTAGGAGGGACAAAAACAATACCCACAGAAGAAGCAATTCATACCCTTGTGAATTCATATAAATCATCTGAAATGAACCAACAAGTCCAAAAAGAAGTAGCAGTACTATCTGAAAAGGTATCCTTCAAGGCTAAATCAGTTTCATAGCATATTCCTACATTTGATCCAAAGTTAATTATAAAAATATTGACATCAAACTTTCATTTCAGGACAACAGTTCAACAAACAAGAAGAGAAGTCATGCTAGCTTCCTTAATCAGTGCTTAGCCCTCACCGAAAGATCATCCATTAACATGTTTCGTGATCTAGGATATTATTGGTTACGCCTTGCCATATATATTGCATTGGCAATAAGTTTAGCCACTATTTTCTATGATCTGGATACAAGTTATCGCTCAATTCAGGTAATAGGGAGAGAAAGTAACACATTGTATAATGACTCACATAACTCACACTGCATTAATATTATGTGGCTTTTAGTTTTGCTAATATCTTCTAACTCTGCTCTCACTTTCAATTATTTCAGGACAGAGGTTCATTTCTCATGTTTGTGTCTTCATTCATGACTTTCATGACCATTGGTGGATTCCCTTCCTTTGTGGAGGACATGAAGGTAATTTAAAACTTTCTTGTTTTCTAATTTTTAAGGAGCTTTCCTGTATCTTTTGATTTATTTTTTTAGTAATCTGTTTATTACTTTAAACACAAAATGAAAATGTACGTATATTTATTATTTTAAAAATATGAAATATATTTAATATCTTTTTAATTTAATAATGAAAAGGATTTATGGGAATAGTATCTGAGTAGTCACTGAATTATTAATTTTATTCTTTTTTGGTTCGATTCCCCGCCATTGATCCAGGTGTTTGAACGGGAAAGACTAAACGGGCACTATGGTGTTACTGCATTTGTCATTGGTAACACCTTTTCAGCTATCCCATACTTGTTGCTGGTTTCACTCATTCCTGGAGCTATAGCCTATTACCTTCCTGGTCTTCAGAGAGGATTTGAGCACTTTCTATACTTTTTTTGTGTTCTATTTGCTTGTCTGATGTTGGTAGAGAGCCTTATGATGATTGTTGCTAGCATAGTCCCTAACTTTCTAATGGGTATCATAACTGGTGCTGGAATTCAAGGAATCATGATTTTGGGTGGTGGGTTCTTTCGATTGCCAAAGGATCTTCCTGGGCCATTTTGGAGATACCCAATGTTCTATGTTGCATTTCATAGATATGCCTACCAAGGAATGTTCAAAAATGAGTTTGAAGGACTTACGTTTCCTAAAAGTGAAGTTGATAATGGCTCGTACATTAGTGGTGAAGAGATTCTTAGAAATACATGGCAAGTAAACATGAGTTACTCAAAGTGGGTTGATCTTGCAATCTTGTTGGGGATGATTGTTCTGTATCGAGTTCTATTTTTGGTTATCATCAAAACTACTGAGAAGGTAAAGCCCATTGTTGTATCATTCATGTCAGGGTCTCCCAAGCGAACAATACAGATCATGGAGAATCCCAATGCCACTCCTTTACATTGAGAAGTTAATGTTAAATACCACTAAAAAAGTGCGATTCTATTAATTTGCGCAATGTTTGTGTATTACTAATGATGGTTAAGTTATGTAGTTGTTCTAGTTAATTTACTTGCATTCAGTAAGTTAATGTATCTACTGGTCTTGGTTGCTGGTAGCTATACCAGAACCAGGTATCAAATAATGACATGAATGAAATGATAAGAATATGGCTTTTAGCTAATATATAGAGGACAAAATCAGAACTAATTCTTTATATTCTTTTTATTAAGTTCTTCAATCAAATAATGATAAAAGGCAAGTTTATTTAAAATTCTGTAACATATATTAATTGAAAATTATTTATTATTAAAAAGAACGTGGATCTATGGCTGAGTCATTTTAATTAAAGAACGTAATGATAATAATATAAAAGAATTTGATTTGAGTTTTGTCTACCTGCACGTTTAGCTTTTTTCTTTCTGAGTTTTGTTGACCATAATAAATTCGTATGATCAATCCAATTATTTGTTTTTGGTCCCAAAGAATGTATATAATTGTTTTACTGCAAATTCAAATTGAAAATCACAGGACCACATATACTGAATTATTTCTGCAAACATGCATATATCTAAATTATGGCAGTGTTTATTGCTATTCTAAAATATCTATTGTTACTTTCTGTTTGATAACGAGCTAGAAGATAGTATATGCAACAAGACATCAAATACGTACTGAATTATTCATTTGCTAACGTCACCACTTTCTATCATCCTTTTCGTGAATTTCTTAGTATTTGGTTTTCAGTTTACGTTAGCCGCCTGTGTTAGAAACAATGATTCCAAAAACATTGACGTCAGAAACAATATCTGCACTTGTGGCTATAGATTCCAGTGTTGATTTTTCCCCCCATTTTCTAGGTTTGTGATGAAACGATATTCAACATTCATTTAACCTTACTAGTCAAAAGAAAAAGAAAGTTAGAAGAGCTCGATCGATCGTACCAATTATCTATCTTTTTTATTTTTTTTCAATATAAATTATGCACCTAAATACAGTAGATAAGTCTGTTTCTGAAATTTTTTTTATACACAGACTAAACCGTTTGACACTCCATCCACCTCCGTTGATAATTATCTACCTATTTAATTGTAGGGTCTAGTGTTAAATTGATTAAGTTTTGAAATTTAAAAAATGTTATAATTATATTCAAAAGATGTGGGGCATTTGATACAATGATGCGTGGATATTTGATAGTCACTACTCACTATTAATAGAAACGAGAAAGCAATTCAAACTTTTCATTGCATCATTTCAGATATATGTTTGGTAGCATTTGTTATCATGCACGCATTTGTACTTCCGTATGATATTTAAATTCAGTCGAATCACTCGCTTGTTTCTTTCATATCATTGACTATATGTAAAATTCACTAATTTTATTTATTATTAAATATTTAATTTTAAAATATAACTTTACCTACTTATTATTCTATATATTAAAATTCAGAATGTATAAAATCATTTGTATTAACTGTACTTATTTATTACTCTGTACATTAAAAGTTAAAATATATAACTTATAAATTAAAATTATTATATTTTATTTATACTTATTATGTTTGAATTATATTTAAAGAATATTTTTTAATATTGATGGTTATATTATGTTACAAAAGATAATATAAATATTTATACTATAAATTAACTTAAATTATCGTTATTAAAATTAATTATAATATTTTTCATAATTTACAAATTAAAATTATTATTATATTTTAATATAATCTATATTTTATTATGTACTTCAAACACTAAAATATATTTTGAATGAAAAAAATTAAACTTACAAAATTATTAGTTTATATTATATGTTGTTAAATTAAATTTATAATAAAAGACAAATTTGCATATTTAAATTATTTTATTAATTAGTTTACATAATCTATATTTCAATATGTACTTCAAATATTAAAATGTAATTTAAATAAAAAAACACATTTATAAAATTATTTTTTATATTATATATTGTTAAATTAAAGTTTTAATAAAAATACAATTTTACATATTTAAATTACTTTATTAAATATTTTAACATAATCTATATTTCAATATTTATTAACAATACTAAATTGTAATTTAGTTTAAAAATACTACATTTATCAAATTATTAGTTTATAATATATATTGTTAAATTAAATTTCTAATGAAAAGACAAGTTTACAAATTTAAATTATTTTATTAATTATTTTAATATAATATAATATATAGTTTAATATATATTTCAAAAACTAAAACTTACTTTAAAATTAAAAAAATTATACTTACATAATTATTAGTTTATATTATATATTGTTAAGATCAAATAAAATAATTTAAAGTTACTTTCATAATTTTCATAATTTATGAATTATAATCATAATTAATTTGTATTTATTTTTTTTGAATTGTATTTAAAGAAAATTTATTAGAATTGATAATTATATAATGTTAAAAATGACAATAATAAAACTACTGTAAATAATATTTAATAAAAAATATTAAAATTATTATAAATAATTTAAACGAATTTCAAAATTTTTTATGTTAAATGTTGAAAATAGAAAAAAGAATATTGATTAAATTGTATAAAAATACTTTTAAGAAAATTTTATGAAATTCTTGAGTTATCTTTTAATTATAAGTAAAAATATATTTTTGTATTTAACTTCTATTTAACATTTGAATGTTAATTATTGTTTTATATTATATATTATTAAATTAAATTTCAAATGAAAAGATAAGTAAACTATAATATAAATAAAAAGATAATTTTTATTATATTAATTTTTTATTTTCTAACTTTTCATATATCACGACTTCATCTCTACTTGTATAAGTTATATTTACAAAACTTTTGAAAAATTGTTCACTGTTCTTTCTATTGTCATTATTTTTCTTTGTATTTTACAATCATGTTAGCTGTCAAGAATTACCTACCCATGTAAGTTTGAGTTTGATATTTTTTAGTTTGTTTCATTAAATTATGTTATATATTTCAATTAATTTTTGAGCAAGAATAAAGCTATATTTTTTTAAAATGATATCATGTATTGAATTTTATTTTTAATTGATTAATTTGTATCAAATCTATCATTATTTTCTATGCTTTTGTAGGAGAATAACAAGTTACAACGAATATAAATAGACTTTTTTTAACGATCTGAATTCAACAATAGATGATTGTATCAAACCTATATCTCCAACCGTAGAAACAACAAATCAAAAAGAAAGAAAAAATTAATGTATAAATTATAAATTTGTAATTTATTGTCCAAATTTCTTAGATAATACAGTAATTTATATATATTTTTTAGGTCGCAACTTGAAGAAGATGAAGCAGAAAATGGAGAATAAAAGACAAATATAGAGGATTTAGAAGATTGAACTATTTTTATTGTAATATTGTATAAATACTTTTAATATTATGTAGAATTTGAAAAGTAAAATGTCATCAAACATTTAAGTTTTTTATAAAATAATTTTGTTATTTTATTATATACATCTCTCTTACTTTATTATTATTATTATTATTATTATTATTGACTTTATTCTTAACATAAAATTTACCTAGATTTTATATGTGACTCATAAACTTTATATTATATCAACTTCTATAATTTTAATAGATATAAAGATTAATATTTATATTAAAGAAAATTATTCTTCTCTTTTAGTTTTTATCTAAATCTTAATTGAAATTTTTTTAACTACTGTTTTTTTCTCTTCTTCTATTATTTTAATTTTTTTTAAAATAATTTAATAAGAATTAATATATCATAATTATGTATAACTTATTAATGTAGAAAATATTTTATTTATATTTTATATTATAATAATTATGATGATAATAATTGATGAATTGTAATTAAAGAAAATTTATTAAAAATGATAGTTATATTATGTTAAAAATGGCAATAACAATATTGTTAATGACATGATGCTTAATAAAAAATTATTAAATTTTAAAAATAAAAAATTTTGAAAATTTCATTGTCAAGTAAAATTTACCTAACGAACGAAAATAATTAAATAGTAAAAAAATATCTATTAATTTCTTAAGTAACATTTTAATTGAAAATAAAATTATATATTTACTTTACGTTATACTTAAATTTGAGTGATATTAATTTAAATTATTTTATTAAGTATTATACATATAATCTATATTTTAATTTGTACTTCAAATACTAAAATATACTTTAATCTATATTACTTTTATATTTAAATTATTTTATTAGTTAGTTTAGAATAATCTATAGTTTGATATGTACTTTAAGCTCTAAAATTTACTTTTGCACTAAAAAATTTACACTTACAAAATTATTATTTTATATTATGTATTGTTAAATTAAATTTCTAGTGAAAAGATAACTTTATAAATAAAAATACTATATATAAAATAAAATTAAAATTGCTAAAATAAGTTATAATATTTTGCATAATAAAAATAATTAATAGGAAAAAATATCTATAAATTTGTTGAGTTATCTTTTAATTAAAACTAACATTGTTTATTTACTTTAAGTTATGTTTAAATTTAAATGATATTAATTTAAATTATTTTAAAAATTAGTTTAATATAATTTATATTTTATTATGTAGTTCAAACATTAAAATATACTTTGAATTAAAAAATTATACTTACAAAATTATTAGTTTAATATAATTTAAATCATATGTTAAATTTTATTTTTAACTGATTAATTAGTATTAAATCTATCATTATTTTCTTTAATACATCATAAGTAATTATTTACTTTTATGTTTTTCACGCTTTTGTAGAGAATAACAAGTTCTAGTAAAGATAAATATATCACCATTGTGGGATACACTAAATATATATAACAAAAAAGAGTTAATTAATACTGATAAAGTACTAATTGATAAAAATGTATTAGTATTTGTATTTTTTTTTATTAAAAATTAATATTTTTAATAAATTATAATTATGTTATTTTTTATATGTTGTTGTATAATAATTAACTAACTTAATTTATTTTTAAATTTTCTAATTGATTAACTTTTTCTTTTTATAAAGCAATTACATACATGCTTCCATAGTACGAGATATTTCTTACCAGTTCAAAGGTATAATAAAGGAAGAAAAAATATACTTCATAACAAATTTTTCAGTGACAACGAACAAAGATAGATTTGCTGCTGTTGAAAATAATTTTTT